TAAACACCAACCAAAAAAAGTGTAGATGCAGGTACCATTAAAATAGAAAATGAAATATTCCAAGGGGACGCATTAAGTCCGCTATGGTTCTGTCTGTCGCTGCGACCCCTGACAACTATGTTGAATAGGCAGCGCAAAGGTTATATACTGCCACACTCAGACAAGAATATTAGCCACCTTTGGTACATGGATGATTTAAAGCTGTATGCAAAGTCTAAAAAACACCTTGACGCGGGATATGAAGTTGCTGAGCGGCAAACCATCGCCGGAATGGAAGAGGGAGAAAGGTACAAATATCTTGGATATCTGCAAGCAAGAGGTCTAGATCATACAGCAGCAAAGCAGACAGTAAGTGACACCTACATTAAAAGAATCCGGTCGATACTGAAGACTAAGCTGTCTGCCAGGAACATGGCAAAAGCAGTTAACACCTATGCCACATCTGCAGTTTCTTATAGATTTGGAGTGATTCACTGGACAGCACCGAACACAAAAACCTCAATATCAAAACCAGAAAAAAGTTCAGCAAATTTCGAGCACATCATTCACGTTCATCATTGGAAAGGTTCCACCTGCCTAGAAAGTTGGGTGAAGAGGTATACCTGATCTAGTTATTAACCACAACAGGCAAGTAACAAACCTTAGGAACTACTTCCTCGCCAGGGCTGCGTCCAGTGAGATTCACCACGCTATCATAAGGGCGGACAATAAGGCTACTCCTTTAAGACTGGCAGACCAAAACTTCAGGCTTAGCGTGGACCAGCTCATACCCGAGCAACAACTGCAGCAATGGAAGAATAAGGCACTTCATGGTAAATACCGCACCCTACTCGAGAGCGATAAGATCGATACCTTCGCATCCACGGCCTACCTCCGCTCTGGAAACCTGTTTGCTGAGACAGAAGGGTTCATATCTGCTATCCAAGATCAGGTCATCGCAACTAAAGTATATAAAAGAAACATAATGCGGGAACGACAAGACAATATCACATGTCGTGTGTGCGGTTGAAAAGGATGAATACCTGGACCACATCATCGCTGGCTGCTCAATGTTGGCACCGAAATCCTACCTAGACAGGCACAAAAGAGTCGGAAAGATAATCCACCAAAGCCTTCGTGAAAAGTACATGGGGTTGACAGAAATAGTGCCGTACTATTTATACGAGCCGCCTGCTGTGTGCGAAGATGAACAAACCCGGCTCTACTGGAATCGAAAAATTATAACTGATAGACCGATAAGTAATAATATACCGGATATCGTGCTCACTCTAAAAAATGAAACAAAACATACATAGTAGATTTCGCTGTGCCATTGGGAGCCAACCTAGAAAAGACACATGGACAAAAATCAATAAATACCTACCCCTGAGCGATGAAATTCGCCAAATGTGGGACATGGAAACAGTAGTCATCATCCCCATTGTGATCGGAGCAACTGGAGAAATACCTAAAAAATTAAAAACATCACTGCAACAACTAGGATTACCGTTTGAATTATACTTACCTATGCAAAAGTCGGTCGTCTTGGACACATGCAGTGTAGTCCGTAGGGTTTTAGGCGGTAACTAGAACAAGATGTTTTAACATCAGCATCTAACGGGCCATCTTGATTCAATACCGATGTGCCAGCGTTCTTAGCCCAGGGAAGCATGTGAATCAGTTAGATGATTAACGAATAATAATTATAATAATAATTATAATAATAATAATAATAATCATAATCATAATAACAATAATAATAATCAGAATAATAATAATAATTATAATAATAATAATTACAATAATTATAATAATAATAATAATATTAATAATAATAATAATAATCATAATAATAATAATTGTAATAGTAATAATTACAATAATTATAATAATAATAATAATAATAATTATAATTATAATAATATTAATAATTATAATAATAATGATAATTATAATAATTATAATAATAATACTAATAATAATTACAATAATAATAACAATAATAATAATTCTAATAATAATTACAATAATTATATTAATAATATTAAATAATAGTAATAATAAGAATAGTAATAATAATAAGAATAATAATAATAATAATTACAAATATTATAATAACAATAATTTTTTTTTTTTTTTTTTTTTTTTTTTTTTTTTTTTTTTATATCGAAACAGCCGCGCAGGCAGAAGCCTAAATGCCGGAACACCGCGGCTGCTATGATGATCCCAAAGAAATTTTGTTAACACGATTTTTGAACTGCCTAAGGTTAGTAGAACTGGGAAAAGCTTCCTCCCGTAGTTTGTTCCACAATCTAGATACCCTCGGGATAAAGGAGCGGTCGTATCGGCCAGTTCTGGATGTACGAAGTTTGACACGGTTAGGATGGGACGCCGAAGTCAGGCGGGTCTGTCTGGCAGGCACATCGCGCGGCGGCATCATGGAAGAGAGCTCTGAGGAGCAAAGCCCGTTGGTGTAGCGATAGAAAAGAGCTAGATCGCCGACGGCCCGCCGGTGCGAAAGAGTCCCGAGACTGTCTGTTAGAGAAGAGTCATCGATCAGTCGGACCGCCCTCCTCTGGACAGCATCGAGCATGGACAATGTAGTCGGGGCGGCAGCACCCCAAATGTGTGAGCAATACTCGAGGCTAGGCCTTATCTGGGCCTTGTATAGAGTGAGAAGGTCATGCGGAGAAAAGTACTTCTTAGCCCTAAACAAATAGCCTAGCTTTTTCCCAGCAGCTGCAGCTATTGAAGAGATGTGTTCGTGCCAGATCAGGTCCTCGGTGATCTGGACTCCGACCAACCGAAATGAATGGCTCTTTGGTAGAACTCGACCGTCCATCGAAACTGTATGAGCGCTAATTCGCTTTTTGTTCGTCAAAGTACAGTACTGTGTTTTGGAAGCATTGAACTGTACAAGATTGTTGCGTCCCCAAGCAGTGATAGCCTCCAGGTCTCTTGTCAGGGAAGAAGTCGTCGCTAGTCTTCTTTTTTCCAGCTCAGCGGCAGAGATCGGCTTGTCACTCTGAATTCCTGCATGTAGAGTGCTGTCATCAGCGAAGCTGTGGATTGGGTTGATCGTGCAGGAAAGGAGGTCGTTGATATGTAAGAGAAACAGTGTTGGAGCCAAAACCGATCCCTGGGGAACACCCGCGTTGACGTTGTGGGATGAAGAGGAGAATCCGTCAATTACGACGGATATCTTGCGGCCAGAGATAAAGTCAGCCACCCATCTGCAAAGCTTTTCTGGGAGGCCGTAGGATGGAAGTTTGCTCAAGAGGGCAGCGTGCCACAGCTGATCGAACGCTTTCGTGATGTCAAGAGCAACGACATGAGCCTCACCATGAGACTGGATGAGTTTACTCCACAGTTGCGTGACGTAAGCTAGGAGGTCCCCTGTGGATCGTTGGTGCCGGAAACCGTACTGCCTGTCGCTAATCAACCTGTGACGTTCGAGGTAGTCCAGAAGCTCGCGATTTATACACCTCTCCATTACTTTACTTATAACAGAAAGCAGAGCTATAGGCCTGTAGTTGTAAGGGTCGGTTTTAGATCCTTTTTTTGGGATGGGCTGTACATGAGCAAATTTCCAGTTTTCTGGGAAGGTGCCGGATTCATAAGATATCTGGAAGAGACGCGAAAGAACTGGAGCAAGCTCAGCTGCACATCTCTTCAGTACAATGGCAGGAATCAAGTCCGGACCAGAAGCTTTGTTGATGTCGAGCGACAAGAGCACTCGTCTTACGGTCTTATGCCTGAATGTTACCTCCCGCATAGTGTGGGGAACCCTTTGAATTGACGGCACTTGGGCGTTGGTGGGGACGTCCATGGTGGAGTTGGCAGCAAAGATCTTGGCTAGCACTTCCGCCTTGGCCTTTGAGTCGAATACAATAGTTCCATCCTGGCACGTAAGTGGTGGAAGGCTACTGTGTGAGAAGTTCTTTTCAATCTGCTTGGCCAGCGTCCAGAAAGACCGACTGCCATTGCGCTGCGACATTACCCTGTGCCTAACTTTTATATCATGCTGGGTTTTGGCATTGCGAACCGCTTCGTTATATTTGTTTCTGGACTCGACGTCGGCTTGTCTGTTCTCTACAGTGGGGTTTTGTAAGTAGGTTCTGTGGGCCTTGATCTTCTGCTGGCGAGCAGTGTCACACGATTTGTTGAACCAGCCGTTGGACCCTGGTTTAGGAGCTTTCACTGTGTGAGGGATGTATTCCTCCATTCCGACGTGGATAATTTCGGTTATTGAAGAACAGACAGTCGACGCATCCGCGTCAGTGAAACAGACATCTCTCCAAGGAAAGCTAGAGAAGAAGTCTCTGAGCCCCTCCCAGTCGGCATGTCCGTAATGCCAAGTTTTGCGGCCTGTGCGAGTTTCTGCGGCCACAGCGGCTTCTGACCGAAACCTAACCTCCACAACACCGTGATCTGAGTTACCCAGGGGGGACAGGA